CTCAGAGATATTAAGTTTTTTCCTGTTGCTTCCTTGTTTAAATCTTTTACCCATAACATACGAGTAAGATCTCTATCTCCTTCATCTAGCTCTTTTCCACCTAGGAATATTTTTGATGGTTTCATCATGACAAATGGGAGATTAGATATGGCCTTGGTGGAATGTTTCTTTTGATCACTTGAGGCTGATCTAATGGTTTCAATGGCATTTTTTATTTCTGAGATGCACTCAGAACAATTCTCTCTTGTTCTCTCTTCTTCAGTAAAGAGATCCAAGAAGCTGTCCTTAATGACCTTTTCTCCTGAGGTCTTGAGTGTGTCTACCATAATCTTATTCACGTAGTTATGATCTTCATTTGAAAAGAAGTTATCATAAAGTCTTTTGTCAGCCCTAGGTTGTTTTGAAGGAAGAAGTCCATCATAATCAAACTTTAGAGGCATGGATTCAAATGCTTCCTTTACTCTCTCAGTTCTAGTTAGCATGTCATCTGTAGTGTGGAAACCAAGCTCTTCCATAGAGAAATTATGGAAAGATAGCTTTCCTAGAGCTCTCTGTTTCATTCTCTTTCTCAATCCAATCTCATAAAGCACCTCTGGGGAAGATGAATGTTGGAAACCACCACTCCATTACCTGCAACTATGATTGCAAAATAAATCTTCCTCTTTATGGTGGTGGTAGTGTGGACATCAAATCTATCTACATGGAAGTCTTCAGTTAAGAGGTTAGCCAAGAGAACATAATACTTGAATTTCTTCATTTTAAACTTTGATTTGGCCAATTCCTCATTGTCAGATCTTAAAGTTGTGTACTCCACAACAAAATAGCACTCTTCTTCTCAGCCAGGTTTTTCTGCTTCTCTCACCCTTATGATATCATCTGGGGACATTTTCATATGACCATAATCATTGGAATAGGGTTTTCTACTAATGGATCTCAGCTTAACATCTATTGCATTTGCAGCGGCAGCAGCATTGGTAGCATCTTTCTTAGTGATGAATCCTAGACCAAAGTCATGAGCAAAATGACTGGTTTTAAAGTAAAGCTCTGATTGATCGCTATCCTCTTTGAATCCAGTTGAGAAAGACAATCTGTCAATTTTCTCTGGTAAGTTATTCCTATTGAGTGTCATCTTCAAGACACTTCGAATGGAACTAGGAGGACCCCCTGGACCAATCTCAAAATCTGGAGAGGTATCAGCTAATGTGTCTTCATGAACAAAAGCATCAGGGCAGATTAGAGTAGCCTCTGGACTATCTTTGGCAACTTGTATAATCTCCTTCCTCAGATCTGAGTTGGAAATCTGGAGCATGTTTACACTCCTCTCTATTGATTTTTGTTCTAATTCTTTTCCTTAAACTTGTACTGGCAGTCTTGGGTAATTAATTTCGTTTCCGATGTGTTCGGAACATTCCCCGACTTTTGATCGTGCCGCCTGACACGCTAGGGTACTTAATTAGCATGCACTATCTGTCTGG